ACTCATAAGAAACGACAACACAACACACCAATTTCTCCTCTAAACACTATAGGAATCTCGGCCTTCAGTACCATAATTTCTATCTCATAAAACACTATCTTCACCCCCACTACTGTAATAGGTATTGGGGGTATAAAAGAGTTAAAACACCCAGGTTATTATGATCGATTTTCTTTGTTTTGGGGGGTTGATTTTCACCCATACTGTTAGAGTGTAAGGTGTTGCATTTATACCTTGGAGGTTATCATTCATCAGCTCCCCCGGCCACCATACGTCAACACTAATGAGGTTTTGATGAAGAGCTGAATCTATTGTCACGGTGAAGTTAACGCTAAGGCCTTGTGTTGTTATCTCACCTCCCCCCCTCTCTCTCTCTCTCTCTCTCTCTCTCTCTCTCTCTCTCTCTCTCTCTCTCTCTCTCTCTCTCTCTCTCTCTCTCTTAGTCTGTCGGTCATTTTATCACATCTCTCTCTCTCTCTCTCTCTCTCTCTCTCTCTCTTTCTCTCTCTCTCTCTCTCTCTCTCTCTCTCTCTCTCTCTCTCTCTCTCTCTCAACACAGAATATCACTTACCAGGAATATTCTCACATAAAATATGAATGAGGTTTTCTATTCCAGATTTTTCATGACTTGTTGACAGCTCCTGTTACGCTTCGCCTCACTGGGAATCTTACCTCTAATTTTGTGTTCGCCTTTTTATCTGCTTTTGGCTTTAATTATATGCAAGAAATTTCGGATCACCTGAAGATTAGCCCCCCAGTTTGTTTCACATATTGATTAAACACTCCAACGCTGCCTATGGGGGTGAGGGGGCGGGGGTAGGTTAGATTTTTTGGGTAGGGTACTAGAGTAGGTTAGGTTAGGTTGAGTTGGGTTATGGTAGGTTAGGTGGTTTGTTCCCGTTAAATTTTTTCTCTGACCTGAAGAATATCGAGTGATCCCTAGACCTCCCCTAACCTAACCAAAACTAACCTATCCAAGCCTAACCAAACCCAACTAAACCCAACCCAACCCAACTCAATCGAATCTAACTAACCCTAACCCAACCTATCTTAAACCTAACCAAACTTGACCGAACAATATGCTGTTATGCGTGTGGTAACTCATGACTTTGTATACATGGTTTGATAATTGGTTTAATTCATGCGTGTTGACAAAATGAACAGGTAAAAAGATATGTTTTTAGTGTAGCAATGAGTCACCTGTTGTATACCTACCGTCTAGTTTGTCGTGTTCATATGTAATGGCTCGAACATAAGGGTTTTTGTTAATTTATTGTATTAAGGTATTTGTGTGGTATTGTCCTTCCATGGTTATTAAAAGTGACGGAGGTGAGGTGAGGTGGTAGGCTGAGGTTAGAACGCTGTGGAGGACCCGTGGTAAGGATTTAGGTCCCACAGTAACGAGTGAAGATTGTTACTTGTCATAGGTGGTGTGCCCAGAGTAGTTGAAGTGACTTTATATGGATTGACTTACGTGTCTTCACTGTACAGTCAATGAAAAAAAATCTCGTGTTACATCCACCTGTCGGAATATAATGTCCAGTTTCTTCAATTTCTCAACATTACTTGAAGCTTCATTGACATAAACGGGGAACGCGACTTATCCCTTTCACTTATACCTACACTTATTAACCCCTTGTGTACTGGGCCCCATCTGAGCTGAATAAAATTGTATGGCGTTAGGCAAATAAAATATTAAAAGTGGCGTCTCCTTAGTGAAGGGACTAAAAGAAGAAGAAAAAAGACAAGAAAAACGTGATCGTGTTTCTTCCTCCACAGCACCAGAAGCTCGTAAGAACTTGACACTGTTATTTTGTTTCATCTACAGTATAGTTAATTAGTGTTTAGTTTACAGAATAAACATAATAACAACAGACCAAATGTAAATGATAGCCAATCTGAGTAAAAAAAAATAGAGATAAAAAGTTACATTATCGTTGGTTAATAAGCTGAAAGGTCCAAACATTCAGGTGATTCGAAATACCTTCCTTCAGGACAGTTAGATATAATAAATTTTTGCTGTAGCTCTGAGAACCGCAAGTTTATCCAGTCGGCACAGGTAATTTCCTCGGTATGTGGCTCACGTGAAAACTTGGACCAGATTCGAGCACAGAGTGAAAGTTTCGCTGGTGAAGTGATGTTCCTGAGACCGATACTGATGTTAGTTGAGTTCCTGATGTCTCATGTATTCACTTTTCTGGTCGAAATGATGTTAGTTGAGCTCATAAAGTCTCCCTTCTGGTCATACACAGCGAGGCGATCATACGCAACGAGACGATCATACACAGCGAGACGATCATACACAGCGAGGCGATCATACACAACGAGACGATCATTCACAGTGAGGCGATCATGCACAACGAGACGATCATTCACAGCGAGGCGATCATACACAACGAGACGATCATACACAACGAGACGATCATTCACAGCGAGGCGATCATACACAACGAGACGATCATTCACAGCGAGGCGATCATACACAGCGAGGCGATCATACGCAACGAGACGATCATACACAGCGAGACGATCATGCACAGCGAAACGTCATGTCTTAAGGGTGTAAGTTGAGATGAAGAGACGTACAATCCCCTTCACTAGTGCGTTTACAGGGGTTCATCAGGTTTTGTGCAGTGTGGCAGCCCTGTGTTTGTTTACATTCGACATAAGAAAACTAGCAATAGTAAACATACTATGGAGTCAAATTAAAACAAGATTAAAACAAAAACCTCAATGTAATGATTTGTGGAATGTTTATATCACGAGCCCCTGTAAATGCACTAGTGAAGGGGACTATACAGGTACAGTTGCATCCAAAAATTCCATTGAATACTTGGTCAAATCTGGCATCTACTTGTGGGTCATATTTATAATTGGTTTATATCTAATAATAATGTTTTTTTTTCTATATTATGTGAGAAACACTAAATGAATGGTGGGGGGGGGATACTCCTTAATACAATTAAATTGTTATAATTCCAGTCCTTCTCACATAATGACTACTCAGATATTTACATGTTAAATACTGCCAAGTCTCCAGGGAATTGTGTCTGCAACTGTACATAATTTTTTTATAAATTTTGACAGTCTAGGTTGAGTTAGCTTTAGGTTAGGCTATGTTAGATTAGGTTAGATTAGGTTTGGTTAGATAAGATTAGGTTTGGTTTGGTCTGGTCAGGTCAGGTCAGGTTAGGTTAGGTTAGGTTAGGTTAGGCTAGGATATCATTAGGGTGATGATTAAGGTTAGGTTAACATTATGGTGGTTAAACTTGAGGTGAAATAAGCTGAGACGCCTAATCTTCACGCGATCCTAACATGGTACAAGTCAGACGAGTTAAAGTAAACAGAAGAGGTGAAGCCATTTGGTCAGGGAACCTCTCTTAACAATCCTAACTTGACCTCCTTAGACCTCAGTAACTCTTGCTCTCTCAGGTAACTCAAGATAATGGGCAGTTATCTTGTTTTCCCCCCTCTCTCCTATCTCCTATCTCTCTCTCTAGTGTTTTTTTATCATACTTCTAAACCATTATATTACGAAAGTGAAATAATTCCTTCCCTTCTTCCTTCATCCATACAGCCACATATCTCCGTCATCTACTACGTACTAATATTATTTTATTTTTTTTTTTTGAAGCTTGCATATCCCATCAATATGACCAGATTAAATTTTCCTAATGCTGGAGGGTAAACGTTGAACAAATTCTCCTCATTATACTTATTCATATTTTCACTTTATTGTTTCATGTATTCTGACTTTTATCTCTAAGCACTTTTATTTTATTATCCAGGGTGATCGAAAAGTCCCTGTGCATCTGATATCATTAATAGATGTTTCTTGTTATATCTACATTGTTATATACCTTGTTCTAATTATTTCAAGTATTGGAATATAGTTACCACTTTCAACGTTTATTGCGACCCATTCTAATGTTTAGTGTAAGTAGAAGAATGTGTGTAATAATGTTGGAACAACTGTACTGTAAATAATTGCAGGTGCACAGGGACTTTTCGATCACCTTGTAATTTATGTTGTTTACACTTTTTCGTAGGTGTCATCATCATCATCATCATCATCATCATCATCATCATCATCATCATCATCTTAGGATATTATTTATGAAGTGATTTTGTATGTTAACAGCGCTTTTGTTTAACTCCTGAATGATAAATAAGAATTATTATTATTATTATTATTATTATAATTATTATTATAATTTTTATTATTATTATTTTTATTATTATTATTATTGTTATTATTATTATTATTATTATTATTATTATTATTATTATTATTATTATTATTATTATTATTATTATCATTATTCTATGTTTTAATTTCAGTTTTATTTGGCTATTTGCTTTAATGTTACGTTATATTTTGTGTTGTCATATATAGCCTACAACTTCTCTGTTCAAATTATTACAGTAACAGTTTCCCGTCGTTTATATGCAGTGAAAAGTAACGGTTATAAAATGCATAATTTTAGATAACAAGAAAAAAATAATTTTCACTTTGTGTCAAAAGATTTTTAAAATCCGGTAATTAGTGCCACAGTTTAGAATGGGTTATGAGATTACTGCTGCTTACCGGAAATTCATACAGAATAATTATTAGTCTTTGTTTTAGTGAAGGATGAGTGCAATCCGTGAACTACGTTATACACTGAACACGTACTCAGAATTGTACATTTTTGTACAGGAGAGGGACGGGTTGGCTCACCAGAACCTACTTAATGCTAAGTTGCCTTACAGAGTCTTTACCTCTCTAATTGAGACCTCCGCAGGTTAGGAGGAATCGATAATTTCTATATTGTCGACATAAAGTGTTAAATTTTTCCTATGTGATTCTACACGTTGCACCAAGTTGGAATATCATATTCGCTTACCAGTAATATATAATGTTACGAGACCTTCGTGTTATCTAACTTCAATGAACAGCATTACAATATACTGTACATAGAGTATACAGGACCGGCATAAATCTGTTGTATCTTCCTCAGGTTGGATTGGGTCGACCAGTCTGGCTGTGTCGCGTCTGTCAGCGCCTCTGGTGGTGGCTTTGTGCAGAAGGAAGAGCACGAGGCTCACAGCTGTCATCGGTGGGCTCGTCATGGCCCTCGCCATTCTCTTCGCCTCCTTCGCCATACAGCTCCACCAGATCTTCCTCAGGTAGGTCATGTCTCTCCCGAGACACCAGGTGCACCTAATTTGAATCTCTGGTCCGAGATGACTGCGTCAGGTAATATGAGAGTGTGTGAGCACCGGTTCAGGGTGGAGGCACTGGGCCAGCTAAAACGAATGTAAGATGAAACTACGTCAGGTACTGTAAGTGCCCAGGAGAGCGGCGTCAACTAATTGTTTGGTTTAAGGTCACTAAGTCGGCTAATCAAGGGACACAGGGTCAGCCATATTGATGAACGAGGTCATTAAGTTAGCTAACACAAGTTCAGATACACCTTCCGGAACACAGTGTGGACTGTGACTCTTGGCGGCGCTGTGTCCTCTAGCGCGGGTCTCTAGGTGTGGAATATTAGCAGTAAAGTACTAAGCCACCAAGTAAGGCTTCGATCATACGTAATGGGATCAAAGTCGTGACAGTTTAGCGGCATTAAATCTGCATTGCAGTCTCTCTGTTGTATGATTTGTTATGTTGGGGAATTGGTGCATCTAGTCAGCTGTGATCTGTCATTGGGGCACTTATCTGTGGTAACGGGGCACTGGGACAGCTGTTTATAGCTCATCTGGGCACCTATCTAGCATGGTCCTCCATATGCCCGAGTGCCAGGTCAGATGTAATTGGCTTTCGAGGCATCAGACTGTCTTAGACGGGTTGGGACTTGGGGGTTTGGTTACCTCCTGGATGACGAGGCTTTAACTGATTTATGACCGTAGCTATAACTTGTGTGAAGGCAAACTGAGATATTGAGAACATATCCGGAGCTTAGATGAAATACAAACTGTAACGAAGTAGTCTGGAGGTCTGCGTTATGTCCAGTTTATGAAGAACTGAGCCAAGCATCCATGTATAAATTAAAGCCCATAAGCTACGTTTGTTATCGAAGTTAAGGTTAGGTCTGTCAATAACGTCTTTGTTCTTAGAAGTTATTAACGATACACAAAGTCAGGAAGATATAAAAGTGGCCATTGCAAACTTATGGAGTGAAAACATAAATAATTTTACAGTTGGTGTGGAAAAAAAACAAGTGAGGTCAAGACAAACAGCATCTAACTACATGAAGGTCCCTCGTGTAGCTCCATATGCAAAACATCCTTTGTGTGCGTAAAGGAGACAGTGAGGTTTATTCTTGATTAAAATGTAGTTACTGTATAACATTCATGCAATATGGGTGACACAAGGCGAGAAGTACGAGGAAGATTTAGGTTAAAAAATTACGTGTTCTAACAGCAACGATAAAACAATACTAACATCTGTCAGGCAGCTGCCGGCACCAGGTTGGCAAAGCTGTCTGGCTTAACGTGTGAAAACAATGTCTGATGAATCTCACCCCCAACAGATATTGGACAAAGTGTAACAGCTGTGACGTTGACAGGGGAAGCCTTCGAAATGTTCTTGCAGTAAAAGTGAGATTGAAATGCATAAATTGGGAACACATGACGGTGTTACTGCGAAGCTGTACAGTCCGTCCTAGTTTGACAATAGCAGGACCTTAACTGGTGTCCCTGAAGCCAAAAAGAGATGCCGTTGGGAAGTGCTGCTGTTTTATCCGGTGTAAGAACGGGTCAACGATTCTTTTGACGTCATTACACATAAAGTTATTTAACCAATGTGTGTCAGTGTCAGAAGAATTTGTTATATAATTTAAACTGCCACAATAGTATGACGAGTAAAGAGAAATGGCGTAATTGTTATATTATTTTAATTGTATGCAGTTAAAATATTTGTACAATCTATTATCTTTATTTCTAAGCAGACCAAATTGTTTTATTACAGATTAAAGTTAGTATGTTCATATATTTCAGGCATTTCAGTAAATTGAAGCAATAACAAATAAATAACATAAAATACTGTACAAATTATGCCGTGTAAAAATAATTAAAATAGACTTTAAATTATTGTAGCAACGAGTTTGGAATTGATGTTGCCTTAACCTGCGACCTATAAGAGTTGACCAATCAGAGAGCATGTAGTTGTTGGTTTATGACACAGTAAACCTCATGTTGTTGGTTTATGACACAGTAAACCTCGTGTTGTTGGTTTATGACACAGTAAACCTCGTGTTGTTGGTTTATGACACAGTAAACCTCATGTTGTTGGTTTATGACACAGTAAACCTCATGTTGTTGGTTTATGACACAGTAAACCTCATGTTGTTGGTTTATGACACAGAAAACCTCGTGTTGTTGGTTTATGACACAGTAAACCTCATGTTGTTGGTTTATGACACAGTAAACCTCGTGTTGTTGGTTTATGACACAGTAAACCTCGTGTTGTTGGTTTATGACACAGAAAACCTCGTGTTGTTGGTTTATGACACAGTAAACCTCGTGTTGTTGGTTTATGACACAGTAAACCTCGTGTTGTTGGTTTATGACACAGTAAACCTCGTGTTGTTGGTTTATGACACAGTAAACCTCGTGTTGTTGGTTTATGACACAGTAAACCTCATGTTGTTGGTTTATGACACAGTAAACCTCGTGTTGTTGGTTTATGACACAGTAAACCTCGTGTTGTTGGTTTATGACACAGTAAACCTCGTGTTGTTGGTTTATGACACAGTAAACCTCATGTTGTTGGTTTATAACACAGTAAACCTCGTGTTGTTGGTTTATGACACAGTAAACCTCATGTTGTTGGTTTATGACACAGAAAACCTCGTGTTGTTGGTTTATGACACAGTAAACCTCGTTTTATTGTAGGTCTATGACACGGTAAACCTCATGTTGTTGGTTTATGACACAGTAAACCTCATGTTGTTGGTTTATGACACAGAAAACCTCGTGTTGTTGGTTTAGGACACATTAAACCTCGTTTTTTGTAGGTTTATGACACAGTGAACCTCGTTTTATTGTAGGTTTATGACACAATAAACCTCGTGTTGTTGGTTTATGACACAGTAAACCACGGAATGACTACTGGTAAGTCACTGCTGGGTCACTGTTGAAACTCCACACCGTGTTGCGTCACAGGTCACGGTGTGAGCCACACTGGACTGTGTCACAGGTCACGGTGTAAGCCACACTGGGCTGTGTCACAGGTCACGGTGTACGACCACTGGGCTGCTCTGGGTCACGGTGTGAGCCACACGGGGCTGTGTCACAAGTCACGGTGTGAGCCACACGGGGCTGTGTCACAGGTCACGGTGTGAGCCATACGGGGCTGTGTCACAAGTCACGGTGTGAGCCACACGGGGCTGTGTCACAGGTCACGGTGTGAGCCACACGGGGCTGTGTCACAGGTCACGGTGTGAGCCACGTGGGGCTGTGCCACAAGTCACGGTGTGAGCCACACGAGGCTGTCACAGGTCACGGTGTGAGCCACACGGGGCTGTGTCACAGGATCCTCTGGGCCAATATTGACTTAAATGGGTAAGGATGTCCTTTATGTGAGGTTCTCGTGTAATCAATCTTCACTTGGACTCACAGTAAAGGTTTGTTTTCCTCAGCGGCCAGGTAAACACACTCAGTACCTGAAGTGTGTAACTTATGTCTCTTTAAGAGAGGATGACCCCAAAGGAACACACGATACCAACAGGTAATTGTATAATGTCTTTTAGTTGACCTCAGCAGCAATTGTTAAGACTCCCGAGTTTCCACTGATTGTAAAATAAATATACATATATTTGTTTTAACATCTCATGACTTCCAGGTAAGTTATCGTCGGCGTACTTGGTCCTCTTGTTTTGTAATTAGCATCAGAGACGGTAAGGCCGGGTTATAAATGACTCTAGGTCCAATATTGGGATTTTCAAATTTAGTTGTATCCCTTAAACCTTGGAGCTAATTTCAATAAGATATGGCGAAGACAATCCATATGACGATGTTATTTAAGTGTTCTCTAAGTGTCTTCCTTAATAGTCACACTGAGTTCATAACAACTTGTTATTTAAGACAATTTTCACTTTCTCTGGGACCACAACACGGAGTTAGGTTAGGTTAGGTTAGGTTAGGTTAGGTTAGGTTAGGTTAGGTTAGGTTAGGTTAGGTTAGGTTAGGTTAGGTTAGGTTAGGTTAGGTTCGGTTCGGTTCGGTTAGATCGTTCAAGTTCCCGAGGAAAAAAATCGTTGTTGCAGGAAAGAAATTAAACAATGAAACAATACAATGACAAAAATAGAGCCACACAGTTGCCGGCCACCGAAAATAGAGTGTTTTTTCGACACCTGCCACACGATGGAACTCGGCTTCACCAATTGATGTGTGTTCGTTTTCTGTTACTGTGACACGAAACGTCGCTTATGGCAGCCTCCCTGTCCTATCTCGTGTTTTTCCTTGTCATTAATCTTGGTGTTTATCAATGTTCTTAATAGCCTATGATCTATATATGACTTTGCTTGTATATATTGTAACTTATATTAATAAAGAGTAGTGTTACCTTGCGTGTGTGTGTGTGTGTGTGTGTGTGTATTGTAATCGCATTTATCGTAATATTGTTCAGTATTTATTGATTGGTAAATCATAATTAAATTTGGACAAAGTGGACCAGTCAGAGATAAACATTCATTAATACAACCTATACTGCACAGATTAGGACAGACTAACACAGTAGGTATGATGACGTTGACTTATGATCGCGCTAAAAGACGAAGGTATATATAACTAGACACTCTTCTCTAAGGGACACGGACTCCTTGTATCATATTCTGTAAACATTAAACATCAGGCAATAATTGTTCTGTTTATAAACCTTCAGTAAACTAATCAAACATTACCTTCCCCCGCAGCTACGGTCTGGTGCTGGGTATAGGGGTGGGCATGACCAGAGAGACAGCCAACCTGATGCTGGGTCAGTACTTCAAGAGGAGGAGAGAGTTTGTCGAGATCATTGCTCAGTCTGGCTGTGGCATCGGCATCACTCTCTTCTCTGTCTTCTTCAAGGAGGCCATCAGGTAAGACATCACCTTCACTGTCACCTTCAGGAGGCCATCAGGTAAGACATCACCTTCAGGAGGCCATAAGGCTTAAACTGTTGGTTCGTAAATATTACCTGCAGGTATCGAGTGCCTTACCGTGTGTCTCCAACACCTAGCGAGCGTCACAATGTGTATTCTTTTAAGCTGTCAGAGTTGAGAAAGGATATGTGTGTTTGATAGATTCCAGGTGGCCTAAGTTCTATCTCAGGGACTTTTCGGCTGCCAGGTGTTTGATGCCTTGAGAAGAGGGAGATAATACGAGCATCTCGCACTTGTCTTGTGATTCACACCCTCTGTCGGCACACCAGAAAAGTTTAAGTGTCTCACACATACAGTCTTGAAACACTTGAGGTTTAAAATGATTGTTACATTGAATATATACCTGTCGTTCAAACCCGTCGTGATAAGGATGTGTGTGGGTCGGTGAGCTTGTAGGTGGGTGTGTGCGTAAAAAATAATTAACGGTTTATTAACAACCAAAAGCTGAAAATACACAATTAACAAATTACATGAATTATACGAGTGTTGGTAACATTGGTGGATGGGTTCCATAACAAGAGCTTTCAGTATAAATAGATGAGGAAACAGGGGGTGAACAACTGAACATACAAGATAACTAGGACCTGAAGAGTACCACAGTGGTTCGGAAAGGATTGGTCATGTTTTACTGATGCTGCTGTGGTGTCGAGCAGCTGTGCGTGGCCGAGGACCTGTTCTGAGGGAGCTGAGAGGATCAGTGTACCGATTGTCTCTTGATAGTTGTATTTCGGAACACTGTTGTCCGGGGAGCAGTCTCTCGCTTCGGAGTAGACAAGGTGGCGGAGGTCACGTGGTGTTGGCTGGACTTTTAACATAATGTACTGTGAAGGTCGCAACTCTCGGCTGTACCAGATGGGCACTGGTGTTGTCAGCTTCAGCCCTACGTGGTATTGGCAGAAGTTGTAAGTTTCCACGTGGTGCTAGTGGCAGGTCTCAGCTTTCATGTGGGGTTGGCAGGAGTCTTCTCACACGAGGGATCCAGTACATCACATATAGAACTAAAGCCAATGTTGGTCCCCGACCCTCGTGAGAACACCATTCGTTTGTCAGGTGTGTTCGCTGCCTTATATTTGTTTTCTTTTCTTTTAATTGAAATTGTCACTTTCGTATCAGTCATAGATTGATCATGAATCATTGCACTGTTTCTTGGTGGGAGTTTTGCTGGTGTATCCTGGTGGAGTGGTGGAGATGAGTTGAAGTGGTCCAACGTATTACCCAAAAGTACCCAAAAGTATATTAAATCAGGGTAAAATCTTAACGAATATATGTTTTACATCAATAAAACCTGATTAATAATGTTTTCATTGAAATGTAGTCAAAATAATGAAATAATAAACAGCGAAAAACACTAAATACCAAAGAGTCACCTATCCAAAATGGAGATATAATTACTGATGTTTCTGTTATTTTGGGGTATTTAACATAGCCGTAGGATTTACTTTTCGTTAGGTTAGGTTAGGTTAGCGAAGTGCATCACGATGGATCTGAGTTATCTCCCTTGTTCACGAACTCTTTGGAATTTAGCGTTCGCCAATACTGAAAGGTTTTCGCTGTTTATTATTTCATCTTACAAATTATTTTTACAAAATTACACTAAAAATATTATTAAACATGTTTTGTGTATGTATAACAGATATTCGTTAAGATTTTACCCTGATTTAATATACTTTTGGGTACTTTTGGGTAATTCGTTGGACCCGAGTTGAAGTGTGGCAGAGGGGAAGGTGTCTACACGAACGATGTAGGAAAAATATGCCTGTACACCGGGGATTGTAAGTAACACACACACACACACACACACACACACACACACACACACACACACACTGTCTATACACCAGGGATTGTAGATAGCTCACATTCTCTCTAACATAGCAGACATACCAGATGATCCCCACATAGTGACCTGGAATTTGAATTGGCCCAGGACACACAGTCGACTAAGTGAGGTGAGAGTAATGTGACGGCAGCCATTAATATGGAACACTTACTGTATATCATGTGGTGAGATCCATATTGTAAACAAACACTAGATCACCTGAAGATTAGTCACCACATATTTCTTGAATTCGATTTAATCTTCCAAAAACGCTACTTCTTGGGGGGAGGTTTAGTTAGATTAAGTTCTGTTAGGTTAAGTTACGTTAGTGTATGATATGGTTAAGTTAGGTGAAATAAGCTAGGTTAGGTTAGGTTATATTTGGTTAGGTTAGCATTTGATAAGGTTAAGTTAGGTGTGGGTGTTTAATCCTCAGGTGAAATAGGTTAGGGTGCCTAATGCTCATGTTATCACAAACACTTATTTCATTATTTAATTTTTATAGTAACTGAAGTGTTTGGACCTCGTATTCAACACCAGTGGTTGTTTGGTGAGCGTTTGGATGATAAATACCGATTTCTTGGACATGTTAATATCTATTGGACAATTCATCAGCCGTTGGCTATCACCACAGTTCACCGGACATGATACCACCCACTGGACATTTTACACTTCACTGGACATGACACCATTCACTTCACACTTCACTGGACATGTCACCATTAACTTCACACTTCAGTGGACATGTCACCATTCATTGCACACATCACTGTACATGTCACCATTCATTGCATACTCCACTGGACATGTCACCATTCACTTCACTGGGCATGTCACCATTCATTGCACACTTCACTGGACATGTCACTATCTCTTGGATGCATCACCATCAATGACGACCATCTCGTCCAGCACACACGTGACACAAGAATATAAAATTGGGGGAAACTGCAGCGGGCCTATTGGCCCATACTGGGCAGACCCGTTTACACCCAACCCCTATCGCTCATATATCCATCCAACCTATATTTGAAGCTATCCAGCGTATTCGAGTTAATGATGACGTTTCGTAGCTTGTTCCACTCATCCACTAAATTTCCCAACCTATGTTTACCTATCTCGCGCCTAAACCTAAATTTGTTTAATTTAAAACCATTGCTACCAGTTCGCTAACACTAATATTGGTACATTGGTATTAGAGAAGTAACAAGTATACTAGGTAGGAGTAGGTGGTGTAGGAGATAAAAATATATATTTACCTCAGGGCGTGGAGACCCTCAGTACGTCTTCATCACCATTGTTTCTCACCTGACTAACGCTGTGTCCCAGGATCATGATAAGTAATTCTTAACCTTCTGGTGCTTGTACTTATCTCAACACCTTTTTATAACACAGACACTTAGTGGATTTCTTGACATTGTCGCTGTAAACGTAAACCTTGGGGAATATTTTTTTCTTCCCTCTCATCTTAATTCCTGCCAGGTGGAGGAAGCTACTGACTGGTGTTGGAAAGACCTTAGCTATGTTGCTTATACCTACTAACTCTCAATATCTAAGCCCCCTCACTGGTTGTCTCTTACGTAATCTCTAATGTTAACTCAAAACATGAACACTACATTTTGTCCATGTCAATTCTTGTCGTTGATCGTAGCTTTTAAAACATATACACTCCTTTAAAACACATACACTCCCTTAAAAACAGATACACTCCCTTAAAAAACAGATACACTCCCTTAAAACGCCAGATACACTCCTGTAAACACATACACTCCCTTAAAGCACACATACACTCCCTTAAAGCACAGATACACTCCCTTAAAGCACAGGTACACTCCCTTAAAACACCAGATACACTCCCTTAAAACACCAGATACACTCCCTTAAAACACCAGATACACTCCCTTAAAACACCAGATACACTCCCTTAAAACACCAGATACACTCCCTTAAAACACCAGATACACTCCCTTAAAACACTAGATACACTTAAAAACACCAGATACACTCCTTAAACACCAGATACACTTTTAAACACTAGATACACTCCTTAAAACAATTAGATACACTTTAAAAACACTAGATACACTTTAAAAACACCAGATACACTCCTTAAAATACCAGATATACTCTTTAAACACCAGATACTCTTTTAAACACAGATACTTTAAAACACTAGATACACTTTAAAACGCTATACACTTTTAAACGCCAGATACACTTCCTTAAAAGCTCTAACAGGAATGGTTTTGTTCAGTAGTACGACGATATAATCCATGATCACTGACCTACTTAAAGCGACTAGCGACTGTATTCACTTAGGATCATATTAGTAAACAAACCTATCGGTAGTTACGCCCAAACTTCCTTCTCAACACCTTCATATCCCCGACAGGTGAATCAAACGGACAGGTAATTTATTCGCCGTACAGAATATTCAGTTGATGTTTATTTAATGATTTAATTTGTTAGTGATTAAAAATAAATCAATCCTTAATACACCTAATTCCCCGTGGAGTATGTTGTTAAAGTATACAGTAAATGGGAAAGAGTATTAAGTATGTTATGTTACCTAGACCAGCGTGATGGTGACTGGTGGTCCGCTCTTGCCCGCCAGCAGTGTTGTTAAAAGCCCTGTTGAGTCTTTTGTCCCTCCTGAGCCCTACAGCCTGACACTTTTTTTTTGTAAATTTGCCAAGAATAAAATTTTCATAGTCTTTGGCGTTGCAGTGTTTAGGCTAAATCATCGTCCATGAAGCGCTAACTGTATACTTTATGTAATAAGTATTAAATTAAACTCCATAGTGGTTTTTTTTTATTCCATCAACCGCGTCTGTACTCTAACACGTGTTTGTTTGTCAGGTTGGTTACTGTACTCACGTGTTTGTTTATATGTCAGTATGGTTGCTGTACTCGCGTGTTTATTTATGTCAGAATGGTAACTGTACTCACGTGTTTATTTATGTCAGAATGGTAACTGTACTCACGTGTTTATTTATGTCAGAATGGTAACTGTACTCACGTGTTTATTTATGTCAGAATGGTAACTGTACTCACGTGTTTATTTATGTCAGAATGGTAACTGTACTCACGTGTTTATTTATGTCAGAATGGTAACTGT